ATGCATAGAAAATTAAATATATTACCTGCAGCAATATATATACTACAGTAATAGCTATCAAATATATTTTAATAAAATCATATGGAGAGTACAGATAGTTTGGTATTTTGCAATATCAAAATAAAGTGTTTGAGTCAGGCATGACAAAGGGCCATTGCTACTGAAACTTTTTTTCCCAAGCTAAAATCATACTTATTTGTACATTTTTTTTTGGGTTTTTAACCTGTCTCTGCAGAGGGACCCAAAGGAATTTTCCTCACAGTCTCAAACTCTGAGGAAAAACTCCCTGCTGCCCTTGTGGTTACAGCCTATTGAGCTTCCTGGTTTACCTGTGCAGGTGCAAGCAAACTGATAGGTCTCTGCCTGGGTTCAAGCAGCTCATGGGAACAATGGCACAGGAATGGGATTGAGGTGACCTATTTCTGTATCATCCTAAGAAGTGCTTTACTATTAAAATAAAAGCTGGGTTTGTACCTGGGTGAGACAAGCACTCAACTGGAACAAAGTGCTGCAAGTAGTTTCTGGCTGTATGAGCATCAGCCGTTGCTGTCCTGTCTGTCCTGCTGCCTGTCCTGTAGTATGGGCTGTGCAGAGCCTGTGCTGCTGGCTGAGACATGACCAAAGTGAAAATCACCAAGGATGGCAGAGTCAACACCTTCAGGTGGTTCAGAGCACTGACACTGGTCCCTGCTGCCCTGCCCTGGTGCCTGTGACCATGGGGAGAGAATCAGAGGTTGTTACTCACTGCCTGGACCTGGTCTCCAGAGGCTGGGCTTGTGCTTGGCCTGCCAGGATGGAGCAGTTGTGCAACCCAGGGAAACCGTTCACATAGGGGCTTGGGGCAGCTGGGACACAGAAGTGGAAGAGCTTTGTGCTCTGTCTCTTGCTTGCTTGGGGACTGAGCTCAGGATGCTGTGCAGGCAATATTACTTTGTTGGCGAGATCTTGCAGTCCTAAATTGGGGGGTCTGAGGAGCTTGGGGGTACCTGACCTCGCCCAAGGCAATGCAATGTCCTCTGGCCGTTTCTCTGCCCATTATGACTCACTTGGCTATACTGGTGGTCTGAGGGCTCAGTTCTTCAGACAGGCCAGAATCACAAGCCCTGAGCAGGCTGTGGGCTCTGTGTGGGGCTGATTCCCATGTGCTGCTGCTACACCGGGAGTATCCTGCCACAGGAGGAGCACTCAGCTTTGGGCTGCTTGTTTGGAGCAAACATGAGTGGCTGAGGCACCCAGGCATGGCCGTGTTCCTGTCATTTTAAAGCACACAGCATCTGCTGACCCTAGGGATCTTTTTCAGTTCCAGGGAGGAGTGTGGTCCCTCAGCACGGTGCTGTGCGATGCCCTGATGACCATGGATGTGATGCTGTGCACAGCCTCCATCTTCAACCTGTGTGCAATCAGCGTGGATCGGTGAGTAGCTTCCTGCTCTAGCTGTGCCTGGGCAGCACACGGGTTCCATAGGCCCTTGCCAGTGTCCCAGGCAGGGAGGATTCTGCCCACCCCGAAGGAATCTGTTTGGCCCTAATAACCTCCACCATCAGGTTTGTGTCCCATCGGTGGTGGCCAAGCTGAAAGCTCATTGTGTGATGATCCAGAGCTGTCCCTTGGCTGTTCTGGTTGTAGCCCAGGCTTCAGCTGTTAGTAAAGTAAATTAATGGGGGGAAAGACAGTGACGAGAAGCTTGGGGCTCCTTGGTTACATGACCATGGTGCCACCACCACACCAGGACTGACTCACCCGGGGCTGTGTTGGCAGGTTCATCGCTGTTCAAATCCCGCTCAACTACAACCGGCGGCAGATCGACCTGCGGCAGCTGATCCTTATATCCACCACCTGGATATTCGCCTTTGCTGTGGCATCCCCAGTCATATTTGGCCTCAATAATGTCCCAGACCGGGACCCCAGCTTGTGCCAACTGGAGGATGACAACTACATCGTGTATTCCTCCATCTGCTCCTTCTTCATCCCATGCCCTGTCATGCTGGTTCTGTACTGTGGCATGTTCCAAGGACTCAAGCGCTGGGAAGAAGCCCGGAAGGCCAAGCTGAGAGGCTGCATCTATGGAGCCAACAGGAAGCTGTATCACCCCCCAACCCTGATGGAGAGAGAGCAGACCCGGCTGGGGCTGCTGGAGTGCAGCCCCTATGCCCGTGCCGGCCTCCCTGGGGAGTGTGGGATGAACAGTGGGATCCAGACTGTGTCCTACCCACACCTCAGGTACCCGCACCCAGGGCATGGGCGCAAGCGGGCCAAGATCAACGGCCGGGAGCGCAAGGCCATGCGGGTGCTGCCGGTCGTTGTCGGTGAGTGGCTGTCAGGGATGGCTGGGGAGGGTGGGAAATGTGACACCTTGTCCCACCACAGCACTCAGACTGGCAGGACCTGGGTGAAGGCAGAGCAGCGTCAAAAACCACCACCCTAGAGAAAGAACACATGCAGTGTTTATAACCTAACCTCCCTCTGAGGCAAACCTGTGACTCCCAATATCTTACATTCCAAGCCAAAGCGAGACTAACTTAAGACTTTGCATCAATGTTTAGGATAGGAAAAACATCCAATTTTTGTCTGGGCATAAGCCCAGCTCCACATGTCAGCACAACTGTTGTCTTTTCCCTGAGTGCCCAAGCTGTCTCTGTCTTTTTTGGCTCAGGCTTTGTTAAATTAAACTCTTTTGAACATTCACATCACCTTCTCTCTTTTTTTCCTCCTGGCAGGTGCTTTCCTCTTCTGCTGGACACCTTTTTTTGTGGTACACATTACCAGGGCTCTCTGCAAGTCCTGCTCCATCCCCCCTCAAGTCACCAGCACTGTCACTTGGCTGGGCTATGTCAACAGTGCTCTCAACCCCATCATTTACACCGTGTTCAACGCCGAGTTCAGGAACTTCTTCCGCAAAGTCTTGCACCTCTTCTGCTGAGCCCTCTGCACAGGAGGAGCCACTGGGTCATTTTTTGTATAGTTCATTAAAGATCTATTTCTGCCTCTGGTCTGCTGTCTTTGTTGGGGATGAGGGGTAGATGAGGAGAGCTGGCAGCTGAAGGAAGGGGCTCCCCAGGTCCTTGTAGTAAGGTGTTACAGGTGAGGGCCAGTGGATGCAGCTTGAATCCTCTTCCCAGTGGGAATTGCCAAGTGTAGCCACTTCTTTAACACTTACTGCTTGATGTAAGCAGGGATAATAACAGTAATTTCTAATCTTCTGACTTCTGGGGTGGTATTAACAGGGCTGTGAGGGGACATGGACATGAGTCTGGAGGAAAAAAAGACTGTTAAGCTCATTTCCCAGATGTCCATATGCCAGACAAGGGTACCAAGCTCATTTCCAGATGTCCATATGCCAGGTGAGGGTGAATCTACCTCTGCAATCTCCTTTCCCCTTATCCTTGATAATTTTAAACCCAAAAACTGATTTCACTCAGTTTAACAAGGGTCTTACAAAGGCACCATAATGTTATTGCTAGTGCTCCAGAATTTCCTGTGAAGCCACACAATTCCTGCCAGGAAACATTTCCAGCCTCAGGAAAAAATCCTTCATACATTTAGGTGAACCTGCATGCAGCGACAGCCACAGCAGCCAGTGGGACAGGTGATGCTCGTCACTCAGGCTTGGAGAGGAGAAAAAGACTATTGCAGAAAATTACAGTCTTCCAAGTAATGATTTTGTACAGGATTGTTGCTTTCCAGGAGGGAATTTGCTTGGAAGCAGAACGGAAAGGGAATGTCTGGAGTGTTGCTTTGACTAAAAATAACAAGCACTCAATTTCTCATCAGCAAACCAACTCAATTCCCACAATTGTATTGTGCATTTCTGAGCTGTCACATGCTGGGTTGGGGCACAGCTGCCCCAGGTACCAGGGTACTGTGGGCTTTCCAGAGATGCTCGTTCAGAGCTGTCTTTGCTGCAGGATGCAAGAAACCCTGTAAATGAGCTGTGTTACTGTGGGCTCAGTTAAGACTGTCTTCTCAATTAACTAATTGTCTCCAAGTTCTAGGTAACAGGCAATCAGCACTTAACTGTGAGCAGAAACCATTCCCAACACTCAAGTATTACTTTAGAATACAGGAGTGAGCATTTTGCTGTGAGAATGGAAGGAGTTGCCTGTTCTTTCCTTCCCAGGAGTATCACAGATAATTTCTGTTCCCATCCTGCCTCAGTTCCTGCTTGGCTTTTGTTGGAAGCATGGTTCCTTCTGGAAGAGCTGCACACTGTGGCCACCGGCTCCTCACCCTCGATGGCACTGCAGTGCTGCCCCCTGGGCCTGCTCAGCTCTGTGTTAGGAGGAATAACTTTCCCAGGAAACAGCCAGGAAGTAACACTCACCACTTGCCACAGACTGTGGGAACCCTGTCACCTCCCTCCATTGGACACTGAGGACCCATGCCCCTCAGGAGCTGGTGCCACTGGCAAACCCACCAAGGGCACTTCTGAGAGACCCCACTGAGAGATGGAAAACCAGCTCCTACTGCCTTGGAACACATGGAATGCAACCTAACAGACCTTTAAGATGCAAAGTGGAAGGAATAGATTTGTCAGAAACCTCTAGTCTTTTCCCTGGAGTTAATCTTGGAGTCTTTTCCATGCCATTTTTCTCTCTTTTTAAGTTTTCTGTAAGTCAGAATAGAATTTTCTGCTTGACAGCATGTGTGGTGTTGGGTTGGGTCACTCTGTGGTTCAGATGACCCCGACTGGAGCAGGAGCTGAACAGCCATCCTCATCTACCATCACCAAACTGGATCAAACAAGAGCCAGGACAAGTGAACCCTCACAGGGGCTGTGACCCCTCAACCAGAGCAAACAATAGTGACCCTTCATGGGGGTTGTGACCCCTAACAGGGGCTATGCCTGGAGCTAAGAATAAACCCAACCAAACAACCAGAGGCTTGTGCACCTGTCAAGACTCCTCTGAAATCTCCAATCACAAACAAAGGTTTAACTTAATTAACAAATAAAGAATTTAATTAACTATTAAAATAGTAGATTAATGTTTAAAATTATTTTGTTGCAGTGAACAAAGCAAGTAACTCCCTAATGGTCAGCACATCTCTAATTAGCAGCTCCTACAGGGCAGAGAGAGGAAGACAGGACAGCCCTATATCCACCTGTGCTCACCTTGGGCTTGATCCCATCTGATTCTGGCCAGCTGGGTGCTATGAGTGACATTCCAGGCACGCTGTGGAATGAAGCTTCCCTGTGGAGAAAACACCTCCCAGGTAGACAGGGAGTACAGACACACATGCAGCTGTTGGTGCACTCACCTGAGCAGTTACCTGTACTGCAAAGTGCTGCCCAGGGAATGAAGGGGAACCACTGGGCACACTGGTGCTTTCATCGCATTTTATTTAGCAACATGTTATTTTTCAACTATGTTTAAGTGGAGAAGTCCAATGAGTTCCAGATTTGCCCAGCACAGAGGGAACACAGGAAACCCAAAAATCCTTTCAATGCCAAACTAAGAACTTGTACCAACTTTGTCAAGGGAATTAAATAAACCAACCAAAAACTTGTTTCTCTTCCGTAAGGAGAGGTAGGGAGGTCCCAGTAGGAGGAAGCACTGGCAGATCTCCTCGCAGCATCTGCTTCAGATCCATCTCAAGAGAGATGAGGAGACTGCTATAATCCACATGGTGGAAGATCCAGTCAGGCAAAGGCAAAGCCTCCCAAAGCCAGTTGGGGCTGGGACGGAAGGGAGAGGGTTCCAGGTGAGGTTTTCACAGTCTCTGTATTATCCAAAGCTTTGGAAGGGAATTGGGAATAGACAAGTGCTGTCACAGTATCAAAAAATCTATGAAAAATGAGTCTGCTAGTGAGAAGAGTGCTGTTGGCACAGGACAGACCGTTCCCGCCGGTCGCCGATCCAGCCGGCCCCGCGTGTCCATGAGCGGCTGCGGAGGTGGAGCACTCACACGGTGACCTTCTCCATGACATTGTCTGGGACGTGCACCTCATCCCCTCGCACCGTCACCGTGGCTGACTGGCCACAGATGTGCTGGTGGTCCTTCCAGTCCTGCCAGGAGAGAGCAGAGGGAAAGGCTGTGAGCAGAACAGGCCCTTGAAGAAGGGCCCTCTCTGTGTGAGAAGAGAGCACACTCCTCTTTCCACAAACCAGACCAATGATGGAGGACAAAGGAGCCATGCACTGGATCAATGTAAGAGGTGGAATTGGACTAAGCAGAATGCTGCCATCTCCACACAAATCACAATCCAGGACATCAGTGTCAGTCAGATGGAAAATTTACTAAAATGAGTCAGAACCTTGACTTAAAGCCTCTCCTGAAAGGCAGCTCTCAACACTGAGTGCTTCCAAGGGACAGCACTGTGCAGGGATCTTAGCTCAGCTAGGACAGGAACAGATTCCTTCTGGAACTGACTGAATTCAGGATAGCTGACTCAGCCTGAACATGGCCACCCAGCAAAGGTGTAACTGGCTAAATTGAACCATCCTTCTCTCCAAGCAAAGGCCAAGGGTCAACTGTAAGGAACTGGTCTGAAACATAACACACAGCAGCTTCCTCCACTGTACTTCACTCCCCTTCCCACCTCCTAAGCTCACAATTGTAGAGTCTGTCCCACTGTATCACCTGCAGCATCACAAATAATGGAAAGGAAAACTATGTCCTCAGTGCCTCAGCAGGAGCAGCAGGGAAGGAAGGAAGCAGCAGGAAGGGGATGCAAAAGTGCTCTCAGCTCCCCACAGTTCCCAGTGAGGTGTCCATGCTTCATTTCTAGTGTTACTTGTATTTTTTGGATCACCTTTGGGAAGGTGTATGCAAACCTGGGGATCTTCTCTACCCTTTTAACCCTGTCCTGACTTGCAGACCTGCCCCATCACTATAGCCTTGTTGGTGATCCCACTGGCAGGGTGGGTTTGGAGTGCTTAACCCACGCAAGGCTCTGCTCTGACTGCCTGGCTCTGCTGTCTGTTCCTCCCTCCATACTGACACCCATCAGGTGACAGCCCAGGCAGCCTGGCTGTCCCCAGGGTCACACAGCCCTCTCCTGGGAACTGAATCCCAAGTCACAAGCAGGCTGATACCTTTCGCTGGCAGAATGTGGAGCAGTAGTTGACTTTGTGGCATCCTGTGCACTCGTTGGTGGCCTCCCGTCCGCAGTTGACACAGGATTGCTGTGGGAAGGGATGGAGAGGGACAAGTCACACAGAGACAAACCAGGGGCATCACCGAGGTGCAACAGCAGTGCTGTGATGGCTGGAATGCCAGAGCAGTGGGAAAGCTCCTGTTCCCAAAATACCCTCAGCACACAACCCACAACAGGCCCCGTGGCCTCTGGATACATCCTCAGAGACCCACTCTCCTTGCTCTTTTAGCAGGGACCACTTTAGAAAATGAAATGCACTTCTGTTTTTGTTTCTGTTGGGCAGGAAGCCCTCCAAAACTGTGTGGACACTGAGTGGTCATGGAAATCCATCCCCACCACCCCAGGGAAACCTCCCTCCAGACAGGCCCGGTATCCATCAGTCAGGTAACTACAGGAGTTGGGTGTATCCCACCCAGACATGTCAGGCTGTGCACAGGCTGTCGACACACAAGCTCTGAGGCTATCTCAAATTTAAAGGTTTAAAGGCAGATTTCATTGGTGGTTTTGTTGGGTTTATAATCCTGTGTATGTCTAAGAGAAGGTCTGAGGAAGGACAACAGACTAAGAATAGAGATGGGACCCTTCAGGAGAAAATACCTACTGCATTTTCCCCTTGTTTTAGAGAGGAAAAAGGCATCTGCTCCTACGGGATACGTTCCTTGGTACTTTCCAGTCATGACTACATAAGGAGTGTACCAAGAGGAAAACAGGACTCAAATTAAGAAGGCTCTAACAGAAGCCAGGATTTAAATCCAGAAGCAAGGTGAGATAGGATACACAGGTGAAAAATCACACCTGCTTTTTAAGTGATGTTTTTGTGTCTATCGCTTTAATCTTATTTTAGTGACATCAATTAACATAACCTGTATATTTAGGTGGAAACATCATTGAACTGCCACCAAAATAAGCACTTCACAGAGCATTCCACTTCCAGCTCATTAAATGCCTGACAAATCATTAGCACATCAGCAGCAGTGACAGGAAGTGTTGCTGGGCTGTGAAAGTATTGTGGGCTCATCAGTTCCTCCAGGCTTCTTCTCTCTTTGAGCAAAACCAGCCCAAAAATCAGTGCTCTGATTAACACCCCTTCTCACACCTTTCCATGTACCTGCAGCGAACAGCTGGTGAGACTGAACTGTGTTTGTGCTCCTGATGTGCAGCTGTGGATTTGGGACAGCAAAAATGGCTTAAAGCTGTGATTTGGGACTTGCAAAGCCTGCCCTGAAGGGACACTTTACTGGGGCTGTTTGTAACCTGTACAGCTATTGGAAAATGTGGAAAATACATGGGGCATGGTTGTACCTGCAGATATGAAAGAGAACTGAGCAACACAGCTCTAAGGCCTTCAGTCATGGGTCCAGAACTGACTCCCACTCCAAAAGCCAGAGGAAATTGTGGAGTTATGAAAACCAGCTCACAGGACAGAAAGGAAGCAAATTCTCTTCCTGTCACAGCTCTGTGACAGCCACTCACCAGAGCTGCAGCACCACCACTCAGAGGTAAGGGAGACTGATGAACCTGGCCAGGTGAAGGAGCATAGAAAAGTGGAATGCTTGGGAAAGGGGAGACACTGCTTGGAGCACTGGCCCTACTAGGAATGGCTCAGATCCTTTGCCAGGAGGCCAGACACAGAGCACAGGATTCCACAGCAATGACAAAACCTCTGAGTCTTAGACAAAGACCAAAAGGCTCTTCATAACATGAGACATCCCCAGCCTACCTTAATGATGATTTCTGTCTTCCCATCCACATCCTCTGTTTGTTGGAATAACTGGCTCTGGTATTGCTGCAAGGAAAACAGACCAGACATGTAATTTCCCAGCTGGAGCACAACGTGAGGGGTTGGAAAGGGTGCTGGGATGGAGGGTCCCCATGCTGAGCTGTGTCTGCCCAGCCCCACACTGCAGTTGCAAGAGGACAGGGTGACCCCTCACTGCTCACTTCTAAGAGGACACTGTCACCTGATGTGGAGACAGGGCAAGGAGCCTGTGAGAAAACAGCCTGAGGTGACAAACTGCCAGTTCAGTACAGCACTTTCTCCAAGCCCAGCTCCCCATTCCATCCAGCCATACACTCGTCCTTAAAATGGGGGGTTTAACTGCAACTCCCCCACACATGGGAACTGGGAAATAAGCACAGGAAACACGAGGAAAATGCCCAGGTAACAGGACCAAGTGGCACATTCCAGAACCAAATTTTGGGTCAAGTCCAGTGGTCCTCACTCACAAAGAGGCAAAGGTGTCTGGAGGGAAGTTACAGCCCACCAAAAAGGATTAGGGGGGAAGAAAAGCCAAACAAAATTAACACACCTTAGACTTCAGGAGCAACACTTAACCATAATCATTACTCCTCCTTGAAACAGAAGAGTGAGAGGGCTGCAGAACAAGTTGTGACTCCATCAGTCCTCTGGAGGTGATCAGAGTCCACTTTGGCTGCCTGGCAGAATCACTTCACACCAACTCAAGCCCAACCAGGTGCTGCTGTACCTGTTCCAGTAGCAACACGCTCAGCAATGGGGGACAGCAGTCCCAAACCAATGGCATCCAAACCCAACCCCAAATTAATTACGTGCTAGCCCTGGCTTAAATGTATTTGGAACAGTTAAAAAGTCCAAAAAAAGCTGAACCCCTTCCTCCAGGCCAAGCAGTTTCATCCAGGAGTTGACTCAACACATAAGGAGATTAAAGGCTTAATTTACAAGTGTATGACCTGAGAGCACAGTATTTATTCTCCTGTGAAACCACAACCTTGATATTCAAAACCTTGATATTACTGTGACAGAAATTAAGTTAAAAAATTCCAGGCAGATGGAGGCAGAGGCAGAGAAACCTCTTGCTGTGGCCTGCCAGTGGTGTGATTTGGTTTTGCCATATTTGACAAGGCAATTCCAGCCATGCACAAACCATGGAGAAGGAAAAGGTGTGATAAGAGAGAGGAACAAGCCAGACACATTCAGAACTCTCATAGAAACAGCTCCACAAAACCCAGAATCTCCAATTCCCAAGAGTATCACTGCTAGTTTGGAGTACACAAGCCACTGGTTGCTGACCAGAGACATATTTCTTAACTGTCCAACCCTTTTTAGATTAATTTCATACTCTCCAGCCCTGAACTAGTTTAATCTTTCTAAAAAAGCATTCAGATGCCCCAGCTGTTTGCTGATTTAATTTTCCACCTTGCTTTCAAACGGGCAGGGCTCCAGAAGCATCTCTGCTTTACAGAGGGCTATTCCAATTAAAATATTTGTAGGATTTCAACACTCATTCTCTTCAACTTATACAGAAAATACAGTTAATGCATTTCCTGAATCTCCTCATTATTCCCCAGTAATTCTGGCACAGAATTTAGTGAGTATGTGTAATGTCCCCATCCTAAAGTTTTTCTGATATAAACAATGGATTAATACACACTCAGAAAAATTACATTGCCCAAGCCCACCAACATGTCAGTCCTGCCTTTAATCTCTTAATTTTGGGCCTGATCTGCAAATGTCAAATATCTATTGCAAGAGACACCGAGTCTCTGCTACCCCACTCATCCTAAATTCCTAAATGTCTTTCCTTACCAAAAAATGCAGTAAAGCCAACATGGAGATATTAACCAGGGGATCAGATACTCATCCACAGCCTAATTACTAATGATACTCGAGAACTATTTCTTAACAGCCACATGAAATCCAAGCAGAGCAGTTCTATTTAACAAATCCCACACGAAATGCTGCAATGCAGAAAAATCTTATAAATCTATCCATAGTTCCATTTTTTGCAATATCATGATGCATTTTGGAAGTTCACAGAAACATGGAGCTCGAGGGCCCATGGTTTGCTTTTCTTTTGGGATATCATTCCCCAGGACTTCTAAGTAACACAAATGTAACCTTACTTAGAGGATCATAACACTTTGCAAACTTGCACATGAGCTCTCTGGGAAGGAAGTGTTATTTTCATCTGAGGCACAGTGAGGCCAAGGACTTACCCAGGGGCATCAAAATCCCTTGTGGGAAAGATGGAAACAAAATTTGAAGCAGATCCTCAGTCTTGAAATCTGCCCAACAAACTGTGACCCTTGAACAAATTTACAGAAATTAAGAAGTACAAAGAGAGCAACTGAGTGCATGTCAGAACTGCCAAAATACTAAGTTATACTAAAACTTCCCTGCTGGTGAAGCCTTTATCTCCAGCACTTGGAACAGTTCCTTCAGAAGGCATAAGGATGTCCCCAGCCTCTGACACAGGGCTGAGATGGTACAAGGAGGGAGGCAGAGTGCAAACCCCTCACTTCAGAGCTGTGTGAATCCCACAAGCACTGACACTGCCCAGCACAGAGCACAGCTCCTGCTATTTAAAGCTAAGGCAACCTAACTGCTGCTCTGTGGGAGCAGGACAGCTCATTTGTGCTATTTAATTACTCCAAAGCTCATTAAATAAATATAATACCGAAACACACTATAGGGGGTGATGTGTAACATACAACGAGGCACCTAAGTTCATGTATCCAGCTGGGAACCAGCCTGTTTCTATCAGATCTCTACAATACTGCTCTGTACTGTCACTCTTCCAGGAAGAGCTGAGTCTGCAGCTCTGGTATCATCTCATCTGTGGCCCATCCTTGCTCTGCAGCTCCAACACAACAACGACACTACCAGGAAAGGCTCCCCCTGTTTGCTCACTCTTGGAAGTTCTATCAGCAGAACAAACTAAGTGATAATTAAGCACCAATTTCCTTTGTATTAAAATGGTCCAGAAAAAATCCCCTACCTGAAGGGCACAACGACCTCTCTGTCTGCCTCTCATATACATTAACTGCCCAAAAAGCCATGGGACCACACACATACTTGGGAGTGGGAAAGAGCCTCACATTACAAACCACTAGGAAATAGGGAAAGGCCCTCTGACCAACACAAAAGCAGAGAGACAATTCTTTGACCTTTAATGTAATTGCTTCCCTGTATCCAGGAACACAGAGTTTTGTCCAAATATAGAGTTCACAAGCAGGAATTAATTCAGAGATAGCTACTATTGATACTGCCTAGGTGGTTCCAGCAGCCAGCACAGCTTAGAATTGTCTGGATGATAAAAAAATACCACCATGAGCACCATGAGTATGTGGTTTCACCACAGTGCACAAATGTGGAGGTCCCCATTACACACTGAGAATAGTGAGACACAAGTGGTGTAACTGGGCATGCAGCAGATCCTGGGAAAGGGGTTTTCTCCGGAAATCATGTGCTTATCCTTCCCATGTCAAGTCAGCTTTAATCCATACACAGGAGGGATTCTCACTCCCATTCCCAGGACAAGTAACTAGAAGAACATCAAAGAGAGCTGGTTTTGGGTCAGAGGGTGTGGAGAAGGGACTGAACAACCATTCCAGAAACCACTGTGAGGATAAACCAAAGGGAAGATGCACATAGACTGGAAAAAAAAAAGCAGAGTGACGCTAAACAAAAGCAGATGTTTATCGCTGAACTGTGTCAAAACTTGCAATATTTCAGTGTCCCACACTCTGTGCAGCTTTCCAGCAGTAGCCAGCCCAAACCTGGGCAGCAGCACTGGCACCTGTTCTGCAGGAGGGAGGCAGGGAAGGATTAGACTCCCAACATATCACACACCTGCACATCAAAGATGCATCGTACGGGAGAGTTTAGCAGAGCCAACACGGCAAAGAATATCAAAGAGGCTGCAAGGACTGTCCTAGGGGTCCTCAGCTTCCAGCAAAGTCTTCCCACACCTCTCTTCCAGGCCTGTCGCTGCACACATGCCTATGGATTCAGTGGAAAGCTGACATTAGCACAATGCTGATGGCACCAGCAGGAAAGCGGTGTTTGGGGAGGGACTTCAGCAGCTACTGATGGTGACACCAGTTCCAACACTGCCCCCCTCCTCTCTCCCCAGTTCACATGAGGTGCAGATCACTGGGAAAGGGAGAGCACCTTCAGTATGAAGCTATACTTGGGTGTATGCATGAGCTGGTGGTCAGAAGGATCCAAGATCCCTATCGTGCATCAGTTACAGAGAAGAGCAGGGAGAAGAGGGCAGTCCTTGTGGATAATCCCTGTCCACAACAGAGAGAAGATGGGAACCAGTCAGGGCTCCTGTGAGGCCAGGCAGCCTGCCAGTCCTACCACAGGACTTGTGTAAGTCAGCTTTGTTTGCACAGTTCTCAGCAAAACACCTCTAAACTTCACTGCTTATCTTCTCGAGAGGGATCAATCTGATTTTTATTTATGGTTCGACCTGTGTTACACATGAGGACAAGAATTTCTGCAAGGGCTGTCTGTATGTGTACTGGCAACCCTGTTCCTGCGAGGGCTTCGCCTGGCAGCCAATCAGGGCAGAAAAAACCTCCACGACCAAGCTGTCAGTGACCCACCCCACTTGCCAATGGGGCAAAGGTCCGGATGCCCACGAAGAATGGCTGGGAAGTCGGGCTGTGGAAGGAGCCTTAGCACATAAAAGCAGCTAACTGCGACAAAATGGCGAGCCATTTTGCTTTGGGTCTCTTGGAGGCATCAGGGGCTCGCTCGGAGGCTCACCCTGGCCCTTCTCCCCCCCCACCCCATACCTTTTCCTCCCTGTGGTCCTGCTTCCCTGCCCCTACCTGCTTGGCCCTGCTTCACTGCTTCCGCGAACCAGCTCATTGCCACGACGACCTTGCGCCCCGCTGCGTGCCCGGCGGGGCGCGGCCGCAGCCGGCTGCCCCCACCGTGTTTCCCAGCCGCGACCGCCGCCGCTGTGCTTGCGCTGCCCGCCCCACCGACCCGCCACAGCACCAGCCCGTGTCACCAGCACCCAGACAAGCTCGCAGCTGCCCCTGCAGCCACCCCGAGCCCGCAGCCGCCGCCGCCGGGTGAAGATTGCGCCCAAGCGCTCAGAAAAGCCGCGGGGGCTCACCGCGCCTTGCAACACGCACACTCCACTCCGCCTCCTGAGCTGGCGCTGACAGCACCGGTGTTCTTGTGGTAACGCTGTCCCCGTCTTCTGTTTCTTTCTCCGTCTCTTTCCTCCTCTCTGCTCTCTTTTCTATCCCCCTTCAGTAGGATGCTCACCCTTCTTTATATTCAGATATAACATTGCCGCGTTTGTGTTTTATTTTCATCTGAGAAATCTATCAAAAAGAATCCTCCCTGACTCCCTCTTTTACCTTGGGACAGAACACTTCACCATAAACTCTGGGATAAGCTGTTCCACATATGCTATTGAAAGCCCAGCTCACCTGACTGATGAACACTCACCAGCTTCCTCAGACCAGGACTCAGTTCCCACATCCCATCAATTTATGGACAGCTGATGGGAGAGCTCAGGATTGTGACACCAAACAATCTATACAACCCCCTGCAGCTCCTGGAATCCCAGAGAACTTTATTCCTTTCCCCAGCATACAAATAACTTGGGAAGATTTCTCTTGCTAACATTGCTTTCAAGGCTTGGAGAAACAATTTCCAGTATCACTGCTCCAGCCAGAAACGATTCTGCACTCCACTCAGCCCCAAAGGTGCCCATGGCTGAGCCTCTGTGGCACGGTTACCTCTTTCCTCTCCACATCAGCCTGGATCTTGGCCTGTGTGACAGCAGCCTCGCGGAAGGAGGAGCTGGCCTGCTTGGCCTGCTCAATCAGAGTCTTCAGCTGCTGTGCCGTGCTGAGCAGGGAATTGACCATCTCCTCCAGGTAGAGCCAGCTCCGCTGCTCCGTCACCTCCAGCCCGTTCACCACCGACGGCGACATGGCTTTGGTGGGCGTCGTGGGGGGCACTGCCAGGGCAGGCAGAGAGGTCAACACTGGGCATAGGGAACAAAAGGGAATACACAGACAGTTAGGGTGTTTCATTTCCGTAAAGTGGTGGTGGTGTGTTGGTTTTTGTAGTTTTTCTGTGCTGTTTGGTTTGTTTTTTAAAATATGGTTTGCAGAATTTCCAGTCCAGGAAAGTTTTTCTTAAACACATCATTCCTTCTGCAACATCAAGTGCAGATCTGTGCAGAAGAAGCCCATGGGCATTCTCAAACCTACAGAACAAGAATGCCTCCTCTTGACCTGGACAGAACAAGAACACCTCCTCTTGCTGGGAAGTGTTAAACTCTGGGAAGAGTTTAACACCTCCCAGCACTGCTGTGGAGAAGCATCATGATGCAGTGAAAGCAGCATTCCCAGGAACTCCTCCACCACTGCCAACAATATTTCCCTCAGCCATGGCTAGGTAAGGTTAGAGTAAGTCACTCAGTGACTCAGTACTTTACAGAAACATCCTGATGATCCTACCCAGATGTAAATTCTCAGGTTGCAAACCACAAAACTCAAGTACTGATCCACATCACACTCTCTGTGCTTCTTGAATTCTGGCGTTTACATAACCCTGGCCAAACACTGGACTTAACCCCAGTTAGTCACCATTACCTCCAAGTGAGTGTATTCCAAACAGGGACTTCCTAAAACCACGGGTGAGGAAGCCTTTAATAACCCAGCAGTTACTGTGTCACTGAACCAGCTACTTTTCACATTAGGTTTACACTGGGAGATCAGGGTAGGATGAAATTAAATCCAGACCCAGGAACTCCAACATACACAGTGTAAGCTCAGCTTAGGTAACATTCCAGAAAGAAATGTTACCTGGCCTTACTTTTCCAAAATGTAATTCTAGCAATAAATACTCACCATCTGCCATAAAATTCAGTCCAAGACATTCACATCTACCAACACTGACCTCAACATTCCTCACTGAATTCTCTACTGGTACAAAGAAGGTACCACCAGCCTCAGGGTGGTGCAGACTTCTTATCTCAAAATACCCTTAATTAAACAGCAATTTTAATGAATTTGCACACAAGTGGCATGGAACTATTTGCGCTTAGATATGAGTATGAGATAAACCAGTCTTTTATATCAATGTCTGTTTGCATAATAGCCTTTCCCACTCTCCATTTCCAGCACAATATTTATCCCTGCACGCATTTGATACCGCATCAAACAGGAATTCCGATTCCTCATTTTGGCACAAGTACATCAGACAAGAGAAAGTATTCACTGGTGAAAAAACAATCAATGTTTAATTAGTAACAACAAGGTCTGACTAAGTCTTAAACACAAGAAGATCTGACTCTGGAGACTAGGAACATCCTGTGCCGCTCCAGCTAAATAAATAAGGGTCATACAGAGAGGACTGAAAACTGACACCAAACCTGGCCAAAAGTATCCCCAGCATGCACCACTGGAGTGATAAAGCCATGTGAGGATGTCTAGAAAACCTTCTGCGGCATGATTTTACTTGAGTTTGCTCTCCTCAGATCGAACACTAAATAATTGTTCAGCCACAGTGCCCAAAGAGGACAAAAGTCTGCAAGCAAGAACTTTAGGAAAGGCAGGGAATGCAAGACAGCTCATGACAAAGAATCACAGCAGCCGCCTCTGGCAGAATCAATAAATCAAAGCACTTAATAAAGAATGAAAAACTTCCCACAACAGGGAAAACTGCTTGTTGAAATCTTAGTTTCTGTAAAACTCACAAGCAAAATAGAGCAAAGTTTAATTTTCTGCCCTAATCTTTACCTTTGTTGAGAGAGATGGGAGGAAACTGAAGCACAGTGAGACCAAACGTACCGATTTTGGGATGCGACGTTGGCAGTGCAGCCTCAGGGAAAGGTGAGATCTGGCAGTTGTCCTGGTAACTGGGATAGTGAGGCTCTGGATGAGACACCCGGCAAGGCTGCTGAACATTGGTGTCCTGAACTGCAGGAGAACAAGGGCCTTGGGAGTCACTAACACACCTGGCAGGTGTTTATCTTACACTGCATTCACCCCTATGTTTTTATGTTTTATACAAGTTCCTACACTCTATGGTAATTCCAAAGATTGAAAATGTGAAACAGCAGGAGGATCTCACACAGTCAGCAAGCAAGGAATCCTGGTCCTGGCTCCACCATGGCTCCTGGCTCTGCTTTTACCTTTAGAGCCACAGGTTGCTTAGTTCAATCCCACACACTGAAATATCCACAATCATCACAGGGCTCCAAACTCTGGTTCTTGGAGCAAGATCATTCCCCCAGGAGAGCTCACAACCCACAGCACGATTCAAACTGAGAGAACCAAAATGTATGTCATGCATTTATATTTTGTTTGACTTATCCTGGCACTTTTCACTCCATTTCAACCCTCACCTAGTTTGGGGTTTTTTTGGTAGTATTTTAGGTTAAATGAGGAGTAAAAAGTGAACATAAATCCTAGGAACTCAGCAGAGGTGAACATTAGCAGCTGCCACACCTGGACAAAGCTTCTCCTTTGGTGCAACTGCTAAGATTTCAAACTGCTGAAATTATTTCTCAGGAAGGATGGTGCCTTACGCAGTGTCTCCTTCAATAAATAAATCCTTTGTGTTGCATTCAAGATGTTCCTTCCTACAGCAGTGGGCATCCAAACCTCTTTTCCTCCTCCCCACAGCTGTCTAGGAGACCCCTGAGCTCTTACCAGTGGCTCCAGTGAAAACATCCCCCTGTGCTGGGCTCTCTGAGATGATGGCCGTGGCCTCCACGGTGGACGCGCGGTCGAAGGTCAGCGCCCCGGAGGTTGTGATCTGTCCAGAGGGAGTCACGGTGACTGGAAACATTAAAGCACTTTCATAATTAACACTCAGTGCAGAGGACATGCCTGCCCAGATGTTTGTTGATATCCCTGTGCTGCACCATCCAAGCTCAGGGGACTCACAGATCACCAGTCTGGGATAACCCAGTTTGGATCACACCTGTGACCAGTGCAGTTGGAAATGGGAATAAAAGGCCCAGTGGGGTTTCTGAAGGCTTTGCTGTCCTTCCAAGGCTCTGGGGCATGAGGCTAAAATGTTAATTTACAACCTAATACCTCCCAAATCACCACCTTTTCAGTTATTTTATGAACCATAACTTAACACTTCCCATAAAGATTCAGTGAAGCCACATACCCCATCAATTTCTGGCTGCTTTATGACAATTTTAGCAAGAGTGATTGTTGTTACTTAAATCAACGTAACAACTTGTGGATTACAGCTAATTCCATGACAGCTGGGAAATTTTAGCTGTTTATCTAAACAAAGTGATAGAATGTGCTCAGCCAATGCAAGGAACAAGGCACAAAATCCTTCTGGATAATTATACCTGAGTGACTTCCAAATGTTTAAAACCCATTTTAAAGAGGATTATTTAACTGGTACCATTAATTGGTGATGGTCTGATTCTGTGGCACACAATAATTAAATTTTAAAATACTGTAGCTACAAATTCCTGGCTGAAGTATTTGGCCACCAAAACAAGAAATTCTCTCTTCCAGTGCCAGCATGAGAGAACGAGCAGCCTCACAGCACCTCACATAACAAACCAATACAGATTAAACCTATTTCAGAACTAAAAAAAAAAGCAAAGCCATAAAACAACTCTGCAGAATCCTTGTGTGTTTCTCCTCCTACTGATGATCTGATCTTACTTTTTGGTTCTTTTTTTAGATTTCTGTTGCTTCCTCCTTGACTCACTTTGTACTGTTACCTGCAGATGATGCCAGCGTGCCAAGAGCAGGAGGACATATGGATGTGACTGGGGATGTGTGAGCTGGATCAGCTTGCAAATTAATTCCTGTTCTCACACAGATAATTGGCCAATCAAACCAGTAACTAACAAAGCTGAATGTTGGAGAGGGATGTGCAGATCAAAGCATCACCTTCTGCCTCCTTCATTAACGACTTTTAGGCTTGGGGTTTCATTCCAGCTGCTTCCAGCCTATTTTGCAAGGAATAGCACAAATCTTACTCCAGTTTCTAAGGGATGCAAAGAAGCTCAGAGGATGGAATGGGGATTTCTGGCAGAGCAGAGAAGGATCAACCTCTCCCAAAACCTAATTCCAACAGGAACTTTCTCAGCTGTTATTTGTGAAAAATCTACCTGAAATTCACTATGGATTCAGGCCAGGATCCCATAAGTCTCTCCCCACAGAGAGCAGGTACAGAGGGCAATAAAATAATAGACTATAACTGTCGCCCTGATTTTTTAAGATTTTCTAAGCCTTCTGATGTTTGCATTCTTGTATGAAACTTTCTCACACACTTTCTGTAAACAACTTATTGTTTTGCATTCTTTTATGGAGGAGGAGAAATTTGATGGACTGTTAGTTTGTCCAGTGTCCCTGGAGAGGTAGCACTTTCACCCTCCAATCCTCTGTCACCTTTAGAAATCTATAAATGTAAGAGTCAGAAAATAAACGCTCTCCTTTCCCTGCCTGAGAACAGCAGTGTGTCTGCGTCGTGTTGTCTTGTGTCCTGTAGCGACATATAACCACAGAATCCTGAAATGCTCGGGCTTGGAAAGCACCTTAAGGTCATCTCCTTCCACCATCCTACCATGGGCAGGGGCACCTTCTACTAAACCAGGCTGCTCCAAGCCCCATCCAACCTGGCCCTGAACAATTCCAGGAACAGGACATAATCCAAACCTCTCTCAGCACAAAATATGAAACCTACTGTTCACGGCATAAGAATGTCATGATGCTTAAACCTGAGTCTCCTGGAGGTCTAGAGCTGCACTTTTTCCTATTCAACTTGTGTTCATATGTGGCAACACTGTGCTACTTCCTATAAAATAGGAAGTGACACTGAGACAGTAAAGTCATCCAATCGAAAAGAATGTGACCAAAAAATAGGACATTTTTCTCAGCTGGACAGTTCCAAGGGGCCACTAACAGACATAAAACACCTAGTAGGGCAACTCTCCAAGGAAAGGAAGCAATTTTTACCAGGAGAAAAGAACCTACACGTAGTTGCAGCAGTGGCTGGAAGCAGTGTGATGTTTTTGGAACAATTCTTCTTCACTGGAGTTGCTGGTATTTCATTTTCTTTTTTTCGCCTTTTATATGGCACAAAGAGTCGTATAGGGCCACTCTGGGTAGAAAAACACCAGAAAGAAAATGAAAAGAAAAAAGGGAAAAAAAAAAGCATTAGCTGAGGCACCTCTTTGGAGACTTTGGTTTTACTCTCATCTTTCCAAGAACAGCAGCACAGACCCCCACGGATGATGTGTGGTTTGCAACAGCAGACCAAAGCGCATAAAAGTTTTCCAAATAAAAAGAACTTTGAAAAAATAAAGTTAAACTCAGCTGCCTCCAGCTGAAGAGGCACAAATTCAACATCTTCCCATATCTTCCCATTATCATATAAGGAGTAGAAGTGGGCAGATAATCAGCTGCTGGCCAAGGTGGTGGAATAAAAGAGAAGAAGAGGGAGGAAAAGAGAGGAAGAATTTCCAGGCTAGAAAAGAAGCATATCAGTCAGTTCATAGTAGAAAAGAAAGGCAAAGCACCAGGTCAAGCTAAAGTCTTCTGCTTCAGGACTTAAACCATATTTTTGAAACAAACTAGCAAAAAATCAAACCTCCAACCAACTAACAAAAAACTCCAAGTAGTTTTAAAATGAAAATATTGATCTATTATAAAATTATAATGTTACTTCTTTACAAAAATATTTTTCCAACTCAAAACATTGTGAAATTTGAGTCAAAATAATGAATAATACTGACATCCCCAAAAGATGTTTTGCATTAATTAGAAAATTCTTTAAAAAAAAAGAAGAAAAAAGCACTAAGTATGATCTAGTTTTACTGAGGCTGTTCTGCAATAATGCCAGCAGTTCCTCATCTCCTTTCTCCACAAGGCAGGCACAAAGCACTTGGCCCTGAACACTCATGTGTCAGGGCACTCAATTCCCAGGACACTCATGACCTGCTCACTCCAGGGCTGTGACAGCTTGACTGGTTAATTTGCCCAACAAAAATAATTAGTTCCTAAATTAATGGATGTAAAGCCTCCCACTCACCAGTGTCATGTCGTCACAGCAAGCAGCACAAGTACACGAGGCAGCATGGGGATTTAAGATCCCATCCTGGAATCAGAAGTGACCAGTTCAGCATGAGAGTCACCAAAATCACCCAGAGCACACCTTGATCCTGCTTAAAAAATGTGGATGGCTCCCAGAGTGGTACCCATTCCCCCCTGGATGCTGTTCAGTAACAGAGAGGCCAGTTCCCCACACCAGGGCAAGGGGGTGAGAGGATCAGAGAAGAGAAAAGGAAAACCAAGTCTTTTCCACACCCAAAGGCCAGGATATATGAATATGAGACTTGATTTCCGCTCAAACAGAAATCCAGAAGAGAAAAGGAAAACCAAGTCTTTTCCACACCCAAAGGCCAGGATATATGAGACTTGATTTCTGCTCAAACAGAAATCAACTGTCAGCCTAGTGGCAATGCCAAGCTCTCCAGGAGACTCAAATAAAGGACCCAAATAATGAATGTGGTGAAAATTACGGACGTGTGGCAGACAAAGACATTGAAGGAGATCAGGTTACTAAATTACAGTATCACAGGTGAGAGCTCAATTCCTGTGGCACAGCTCAATCAAGGCTAGGCTTCACCCTGCAGAAAATCTTTCCAGTATAAACAAGATCCCCAGTGTGCTGAGACATATCAAAAACAATTCCCCTGCATCACCGACCCTCAACCAAACCAAGCACTGCTCCTGGTGCCACCAGCACCCTGCAGAAAGGAGGGAGCAGACTTAACCTTACGTGGATAAGGCACTGCAGGGGCCGCCCGGCGTAGCGGATGCTCCTCTTCCAGTCCTTGCTGCTGGCTCGCCCCGCCATGGCCTCGAACTCCGTGGGGCTGTACCAATTGTCCCCTTGCTTAATGCACCTGCCACGGCCTCCTGAAGTAAAGCAACAAAATTAGTCCAAGTTAAGGATAATTTTGCCACTTCTCTAAAGAAGAAAATATGGAAATGGCTGGGAAAAATAGCAGTTAATCTGTAAGAACCACTAAATATGCCCATTGCTCTCAGGTAACTATGTCCATTTATTATCATGGCTGTGACAATGACTGGGCATGTTCAGAGCTCCAACTCTGGGGCTCAAAAGGCTATAAAAATTACTCCTCTGCAAGAAAGAAAAGTCTTTATTGCACAAACACCACAAATCTAAGTCTTTCCTTAATTTGCACTTAAATTTCTGATATTTTTTGAGTTTGTGGTGGGTTTAGAAGAAAGCTTCCTGTCCACAAAGCAAGCACTGCACTGGGCAGCCAGGCTGGCCAGCAATTTCTGCTGCAGCTTCCCCACAGGGATAAAAGACAAGAGGAAGAGCTCAGGAGCCCCATGAAGAGAAAAAAACTATTTGCATTCCAGCAGGGATTCTTCAGAGTTTTGCAAAAACACAAGTCTACTCATGAGACAAAAAACTCATTAAAGGAGTCAGCCTATTACTGAGGAGACTCACTGCATCGAAGCCTGGATATTTTCAGAATTAAGAAAAAGTTAAAAAGCCTCTGAAGAAAAAGCAAAACAGAAGGGAACAGTAAAATCAAAAGGCACTGGGCTGTCTTGGAAACTCTTGATTTTTTTTCCTGTCACGATCAGCCCTTAAGAACAGCCTGATTAAAAGAAGAGTAGAGAAGGAAGAGAAGGAGCTGTGCCAGCCCTCAGCCCGGGTGGCAGTTACCTGAGCCCAGCCTGTTCTTGTACAGAATGCCACTGATATTGCGGCACCGCACCGGCAGCTCGTTCTCGTACACAGACGGGTCCCAGTTGTACTTGGTTCCACTTTTCCCCTGGACGGCTGCCAAAGGGGTAGGAGGAGACTGTGGTCCTTGGAGAAAAAAGGAAAGAAAGGTGTCAGCAACCAAAAGGCAGAGTGGTGTTCCATCCCATGCTCGGCTGGGTGATATGCCAAGAGGTTGACTGGAGCAGCTGAGCCCTCACAATGAAGCAGCACAAAAAACTCAGCCTAATGAACTGAGAAGGGCTGATAAGCAAAGAGGACCTGAGGAAACAGGCTCTAACGGGGAATAAACACTGAGATTGTGACCTGATCCTTACACCACCTGTAAGCTATGGTGTAAGGAGCTGGCTGGAGATCCCCCTTCCCAGAGCCCATCCTGTGGGAAGCTTTAAAGCACTGAAGGTTTGCTGTGCCATCTCGTGGGCAGCAAGGAAACTGCCAGGCGGCCCTGAACAAAACCTCAGTGACAGAGAGACTAAAGTATCAGCCTGAATGGACATGAAAATGTGCTCCAGGAGCCTTGGAAAGAACACGTGCAGAGCTGGGAGACTCGGATTTTTATTAACCATGTTAAAATGATCTGTGTGCCCTTGGGGGTAGGATGGGTGCAGAAAGCCCAGTAACAGGGCAAGATCTTTCAAGCAGCTTCTTTGCCAGGATTAGGGCAAAGAATGAGAAAATTAAACACATTTCTGACAGAAAAAAAAACAAAATTAAAAAAAAAAAAAGAAACATTCTTTAATTCCCAAGAAATACACAAAATACTGTGAGGACTTGATAACTTAAAGGTTGTTTCCAACTGGAACAACTTTATGGCTTTAAAAGAGGGCAAGCCATACTATTAAAATTATGCACATATTTTTAGATTCCAGAAAGACAAGTAGAGTGGAGAAGAAGCCATCCCTCTGGGAGAGTGACCCACCACAAGCAGACTCTCTAATACCTGGTGTGAGAGGCGCCGAAGGCCCCTTGATCCCGGTGGTTTCGACGATGCTGCCATCCGTGTGCACCACTATCAGAGTGGCTTTCTCAGGGTTCAAGCTGTCCCCAATTTGGAGGGCTGTTCTCCCAGACTGCAGAAGAAATAAAGAGTTCAAATTGATTAAAATGCTTCAACACAAATAGATTTCAGTAATACACAGGCACCCCAAACTCCAATCAGTATGGCAGTTATTAGGTTAATTTTTTGAGTCTCTGAGGCAAATTCAAAGATTTCATGTTCCAGGTCACCAGTTATGTTACCAGATGAGTACGTGGGGATGGAAAGGTAAAAAAGTTAGGAATAAAACCCCTATATGTCACCCAGCTAATGGGTTTGTGGCTTAATGCCAGGATATCACAATGAAAACAAGTCTTTGACCTTACTACAGGTTTAATTTACACTGAAAAGCTTTGTCAAGGCCCTCAAATGAAAGGACAGACTTACCAACACATGTCCTGAAATTGAGGCTGCATTGGCCACAGATGTGGTGAAAACATTGTCTGCAGAGGCCCCCACGTTGGCCACTGTCACTGTGGTGACTTCTGGAATGTAAAACAGGGATAATTTAATTTTCTGCTGCATGCAGAGAGCCTGATGAGCAGCTGAAAATTTCCTTATTCCTTCCTGTCCTAAATAAATATTATTTTTCATGGCACCCATAAGTTGTTATGAACACAATCATTCTGATTTCTATTAATCTTTGGATTCAACAGGCTTTAAGCTCCTTGAAACCAGGGCAGCTGCTATTAGCATGTGATGAACTAAGGGAAAAATAAGTATGGCACCTGTACTAGGGATACTCCAAACTGTGGTGCTTTTATTTAAATAGGGGTGACTGGCAGACATCAGGATAAATTAAACAACAGACCCTGTCTCTGTCATGTATTAATTCCCATGGTGCCATGACCTGTGCACTTCGTCCAGTTAAGAGCTGCCCAAACGCACAAGCCAGCGTTTCTGCGTTCAGCGCTTGGCCTGGCTCGAATCTCCGGGTTCCACGTGGGGTGAGGGTGAAAGAGCAACAGCCGCTGGGGCAGGACACTGGGGCGGGCGCGGGGCTCTGGCCCTGCGGCACCAGCTCGGCTGCACGACCCTGCTGCGTGCCCCGGGCGCTCGGCTCCGGACACGCGGGGCCGCGGCTCCGGGCACCGGGAGCACCGGGAGCCTCCCGCTCTCCACTGAGTGTGCAGGGGCGGAGTGTGGGATTCGGTGAGGGGGCGGCAGCGCTCCCTGAGGGAGCTCGCCGTCCCAGCCCGAGCCCCGGGGGCTGTGTGGGGGCCGGAGCCCGGGCTGGGGGAGCCCCGGGCGGGCTGAGGGAGCGCTGCCCGCCCTGACCTGCGAAGGCAGCGGCGGCGGCGGCCTCGTCGGCGCTTGGCATTGGCGGTGCTCCCATCTCGATGTGCTGGGCGTCTGCCGCCATCACCGTTACCGCCTCCCCCTCCGCTGCCTGCGGCGGCTCCCGCTGCTGCCCCGGTCCCGTGGGCAAGTCGAGCTGTCTGGCGGCCGGCTCGCCGTCGCTGTGCTCCATGCGCGGGGCCGGGGGGAGCCGAGCCCGCCCCGCCTCCCCCCCGGGCGCGCCTGAGGGGGGTCCTGCGGGCGGGGGGGACCGGCGAGCCGAGCGCCGCCGAGCGTGCCCGACCGCTGACGAGCGTGTTCGGGGCCTTTCGACCGAGTTCCGATGAGGCCCGAAGCGGCCCGAGCCGCTCGGGCCCCGTGCGAAGGCGGCCGGCGCGCGCGCTCCCTGCCGGCTGGCCAATGGGGCGCGGCCGAGTCCGCGGGGCGCGGCCCGAAGCGGTACCTGACGGATCGGGTGAGACCCGAGCCCGCCCGAACACGGCCGAGTCCCCGAGCGCTGCGGCCCGGCGAGGCGAAGAGTCCCGAGCGCGCTCGAGCTGTGTCCGATCTCAGCCGAAGGCGGTAACGAGGAGCGCCGATGTGTGCCGAGTCGTCTCCGATCGCGCCCGAGCTCCGCTCGCAGACCCGAACGGAGACGCCCGAACGGGCAGCGCCCGAATCCGCCCGAAAGCGACCGAACCGGGCCGAACGCTCCGATCGCGCCCGAAGGCGGGTGGGCGGGGCGAGTGGCCGCGCGCGGGCTGCCGGGACGGCGGAGGACCGACGGGCGGGGCGGGGGCGTCAAGATGGCGGTACCGAGGCGAGGTGAGCGGTGTCGCGATAGCAACGCGACAGCGGCACCACAGCCCTTCCCGGGGCACCGGGGGGCTGTCTCCCACCGCGCTAGGGGTGCCTCCTGGCGGGGGGACACTGGTGCGAGGCGAGGCGGGCCGAGGTGGAGGCACGCCCCGTTGGCATGTCGCGACAGTCCCGACGGGCGGAGGAGGTCCCGGTGGCGCCGGGAGCAGGGGCTTGGCGCATGCGCGGGCTGAGGAGCACCTTGAGCTCGCTTTGCTGAGGCCGAGGGACGCCTCGGGAAAATCCAGACCTTTGCTTCAGTTTGGGAACTGCTGGGATTCAGAGGGGGAAAAATTTCATCCTTGGTGTGGTCAAATCGTTAATTTCCAACTCTTTCGCAGAGGCCAAAGTTTTCTTCCAAAACTCTAAATTTCTGCCCTGGGTAGGTAGAAGAAGGTGGCTGGGAAAATTTTTGCCGAATTCGAATAGAAAAAAATCCTAATCCCAAACCCGTGCAGTGAGGTGCTATGTGCAATGCTAACCACATCTGCTGCCGTTAATAAAGTTTTATGTTAAAAATTAAACCATTTTGTTAGAAAATGGGGCCATGTTCCACCTCAAATCCCCATCCTCAGCGTCACTCACTCTAAAATCAGCACCAGCCTGGACAGATAACCAAGATTTTGTTGGGTAAGCACTGAAATGATACATTCAGGTGGTTTAATAATCCCTCTTGCTCTGGTGTGCTCTGGGGTTCCAGGGTTATCCCTGTGAAATGTCCCGCTCGCTCTGAGGGAGGCAGCACATCCTCAGGAACTGCAGCAGCTGCAGGAGGCTCACTGCCCTCTCCTAGGAAAGGATTAAGGAAAGAAGAGTCCAGATACAAAGTTGGGGAACTGCCCTGAGGGAATTCCATGGCTCTGACTATCGTACAATTCAGCATCAGTGGTGTAGCTGCCGTTTTGGGTATTGAATGAACATGGAATCATGGAATCCTGGAATGGTTTGGGTTGGAAGAGACCTTGAAGCTCATCCACCCCCTGCCCTGGGCAGGGATACTGTGCCAGGGATGGGGCAGCCACAGCTTCCCTGGGCACCCTGTGCCAGGGCCTCAGCACCCTCACAGGGAGGAATTTCTTCCCAATATCAAAGCAATTCCCCCTTGTCCCTCATCCAGTGACAGGATGAGTGCTGGGAGCCCCCAGCCCCTGTACAGAGAGCTGAGAGGAGAGGATCAGGTCCAGGAGACATTTCAGATCAGAGACACATGAATCACCTAAATTCATGTGCCTGTTCCCACTGTGTTCCCACACTGGACACCTTAATTAGCTGCCTGGAGTTAGGGGGACTTAATTTGGGCCTAAATGCATAAACTCTGAGGTGAAGAGGACGTTGAGCTCAGGAATCCAGGGATAAGGATGGCGGTGTGACAATGACAAGCTGTCTCTGAGGAGACAGATGAAATGGCCTTTCACAGGTTTTACTCTCCCTGGAACAGAAATCCCGACTGTGCAATTCCTCATGTGTCTGAGAGAGGCCGAGAATATTAATGAGGAACTCAACAGGTGCCCTCATGTTGCATGAGATTCATGTGATTTTTGCAGAAAACAATAAGGAAAAAAAAGGAAATGTGGTGGTTGGATCATTGGAAATACTTGGCTTGATTTCTGTGGTTTGTCAGAACATAGTGAGGTTGGATGTGGAATGAGTTTGTGAAGGGAACTGGTTTGGAGGGATGGCATTTGGAGAGGTGGTATTTAGAGGAACCCGGGAGCCCTGTGTTCTCCACAAACTTTCTCACAATTTACAAGCAAATGCATCCCATATTCACCTCCTTCCTGCATAGTTAGAGGGGATGAAGTGTCATCTGCTAGGAAAGGACAGGATGAACAAGTTCTGGATAATGCCTGTGCACTCCTTCAGGCTTTGAAAGAGCCTAAAGTTCCTCACTGAAAGTGGCTTTTTCCAGTAGGGATTTTCCCCAAATTATTTGAGGCTTCATCTAGTTGAAAAGGTTATTTTTGGAAGCTGAAGTCCACGATCTGGAATACAATAAATGTTCCTGGGAGATGAAAAAAGAGATTCCTCCCAGAATTTAGATACCATTGTTAGAATGTTTCTGGGTTTATACATATTTTCTTCTCTTTATTTTCTCCTTCTCCATGGAAAGGAAGAACATCAGAGATTGTATCCTTTCTGTACCACTGCTCCCTCCATGCAAGACTCCTGGAGAAGACTGCCTCAAGTGGATTCCTGTCTTCTGTCCAGTAACTCTGCTCAGTGCTGGGTCTGTGCTCCTGAATTTTCTGTCAGTGTCATCCACAGGAAGCACAACTGGGACCACGTTGCTTCCAGTGGAAATGTTTGGTACAGGTTTAGCTGGGATTTGCTCCTCATGGGCTCCTGCTCCTGCAGAAACCCCTTTAGCCCCCCTGCAGTCATGATTGAACCCATTTTCTTATGAGGTTAAAAATGGCATTTATGGACTGGTGGACACACCCCCTGCAGCACAGCTCACAGACAGCTGACACAGCTGACGAGGGGTAGTAAAAGCAGCCCTCAGTAGTAACTTCCTCCTCTCTTACCGTAAGTTACCCCACCTTTACTCCTGCCAAGATCCAAGTAACCTCCAAGGAGGAGACACCCTTGGCTCTGGAGATTTCCATGCTTAGAACCTATCTAGTAATTTTTTTGGCTCCACCTTCCTTCAACTGGAAAAACCCCAAAACCTGGTTCTGTGTTAATAAAATGAGCTGCTCTGGGAACTGGAATCCATCCACGGTGCGTGGGTGGGTTTAGAAGCGGGATGGGCAGTTCCTGTAAAAGATGCCTGGGATGAAATCCCTGCTTGGAGATATTTGTAGGATTTGAAAAAGGCTGGGGGAGAGAGGGGAGTGAATTAAGGCTGTTTGTTAGGAATTTGCATCTCAAAGCTGAGCTCAGACAGGTATGGAGCAAAGCATTTCCATGCTGTGGGCAGCAGCAAGGCCTGGCTGCTGCACAGAGCCACCTCTTCTCCAAACACAAGTTTGATGGAGTTTGCCAACTCTCTGTCAATTTCCTTAAGGCTGACTAAGAAGTGTAGAATTAGTCTGGGGCAATGTACACATGCATCCCCCCCACTTCCTCAGGCTAACTGATGCTCCACTACAGTCCAAATAAAATCCCTTAAAAAGGGAGCTAAAGCCAAACCTGAAACAGCAAGCTTTTATCCCAGGCCGTGGTGTTTGCAGCCTCGAGTTCCTTCCTGAACCCTCCCCACAGCCAGGCATAGCTGGACCATTCAGTATAAAGAGGGAGTGCAGTGTATTTGGGGGCTACTGGGAAATTGTGATTTTGTGGAATAGATCCCACCTCATCACTTTGAGAAATCCTTAACAACAGTTCTCAGCTCTCATCGCTTCCCTTACAGATCCTGCTCTATGTAAATGGGGTTTATTACATCTTCTACTTCTTGGCAACTCTTGCAATGATTATTTACAAAAGTAAGTTGCAGGTATTGATCCCAAAGCAGGCTGTGCTGATGCACAGCTGGGTTTTGTCCTGCTCTGTCCTCCTGATTGATTTACTTTTGTTTATTCTCCAGGTCAAGTTTTCAGTTATCCAGATGATTTTTTGGCTCCTGATCTTGCTGTGCTTTTCCTTATGGGCATTGTGGAAGTGCCTCGATTGTACTTGGGTAGGTCACGTTTTCAGTGGAACTGGGATGTAATCTGTAAACATGCCTTCATTTGGAAATGGAGTCTGTCAGTTGAGCAGATACTTGGAGACCCCTGCACCTTTCCTTTCACTCCTGAGGACACCTGCAAGCACCAACACCTTCTTTTCACTAAGGCAGAAGGGTGGGAAGGACCTCCTGACCTTGTCCAGAGCTTGCTAAAACTTCTTCAAGTCCAATTTTTAAAAAACCCAAATCACTATTAAAATCTGCTCAATATTCCCAACACATTTATGTGGGGTGGGGCTCTTGAATCAATCTGAGTGGCTTTAGGGTTGGATTTATTCTGCTGTTCTAAAGCTCTCTGTGTATTTGCTTGGAGCCTGATCCATGAGATCCATGAATAAAGAGGTGGATTTCAACTCTAATGTAGTTAAACACCAAAATCTACTGAGCTGAGCTTGGAAATAAGCTGCAAGGAAGAGAGAAGGTGCCAGTCATCTGAAACAGGAATAGATTAGAAGGGAATAAAACTTGAAAATGAGGATTGGACTCCAGGAGTGCACCGAAGTCACCAAGGTTGGGGACTCAGGAAGAGTTTGACAGTTGAAGCTGAGTGCTCAGAAGGATGCAGCTTCAGAAGTGATTCTCTGTGGTAAGAAGAGGTGCCCGGGCTGTGATTATCAAGATATTCCCAACACATTTATGTGGGGTGGGGCTCTTGAATCAATCTGAGTGGCTTTAGGGTTGGATTTATTCTGCTGTTCTAAAG